CGCCTCAGGGTTGCTTTTCTTATTTAAGATTATTTAAAATGGTCAAAAACAAGCCTGGATCTTCACATTACTGTTTGCGTGACGTGCTTCAGGGCTATTTAAAGCCTCTCTAATTCTCGGTTTTTTTTTTTTTTTCGATTCTGTGGAGGCTGTTGTAGAAAAAGGTTTTGCATTTATAGAGTGAATGACGTACTGTCGTCTTAGCTGTGCACGCGCGCACATTTGTGTTGCGAAGCGCCGCACACTTGTTTTAGCTACATTGAGCTATACCGATACCGACGCTTCCACCCAAGTGTGACTCGACAATTTCTGACGAGCAAATGCACCAACTGACGCTTACCTCTTCCCGCATCAAATGCGTGACAAAGAAGTTGGTCACATCGCAACTTCTGCTCGAAAGAAAAGCAGAAATGTTTATAAATTCTTAAACTGTCGGACATGGCCCGGCAAATTCAGGCGATTAATGAATTTGTTCTATCCAAATTGTACTACGAATTGTTTACACATTTAAAATCGCACGCTGAGAAACGCATCACGCAATATGCACCTTTGAGCCCGCCAAAGTAAACATACAAACGGTAGTAATTCCCTCGAGAGCGAACACAAGCGTCGCTGCGGTCGCCGCGCCCTGATTGGGTGAGGTGTACCATGACGTCAGGGCGAGTACCCCGCTCCGCGATCTCGCATCGGGTCGCTTCCCACCACCGGTTTCCTGGTTTGGCGTTGTGTGCCGCAAGCTCTTCGAGGAGCCGGACTTCGTTTACCCGGTGTACAAGACATTGAGTTAGGCCGATATTAACGTGCTTCCGTACATTTTATAAGCCTGCTTGTCCCTTTTACCTTTAAGATTGGGTTACAAATCCCGAAAACTATCGGCGGAGGCAATTACGCCGATGAACCTCCCCGTCCGTCCACACGACGCAAGGCAATCTTGAGAGGGGTCGCTGAAGCGGTGACGCAAGTGTTTCAGACGCTGGAATTCTGTTCCTTGCATGGTCATGATTTAGGACGATATTACATCCCGCTTTCAAGGCATCTGAAGCGGCCTTTATATCGTGGGCCTTTCGGTGGTCGGCAAATTAGCTCGCGACCCCGACTCTGCGCTGCCACTCTGCATGCGCGGGTTCGCAGATGTTTTAAAGGCCCTGCGTCTGATGATCTTTGAAGTGCTCATGGAACAGGGTTGTTTGACATAAATGTTGCTTCTTCCTGAATTAATTATATAGTTTATACGCGTATGCAGGCATATTTCTTAGAGGATTCACAATTACTGGAAATTAGTTTGTATGGTAGCAGCAAAAACGGCCGAATTTCCCCCAGTTGCCTCTATGATATGTAGTAAACTGCCCAAAATATGCACAGCAATAGTGCCGTAATTTGGAATGTTTATACTTTTCCCTGACATTCTTTATTCCAGCCTTTGGTATTCGGAAAATACACCGTTTAGTTTGAATTGTCGTTTCCATTTAAGAGTCACTGCCGCAGGTCCCCAAAACCTTCCTCAGCCTCCAAACTCCCTGCAACTGGACTCTCTGACAACAGAGGAAAACAGGAGTAAAAGCAAGCATTCGAATGTCTGTCCAGTGGAAGATGCAGCACTGGTAGCAGAAAATGTGGAACCTGTGAAGGGCGACAGTCTGCGTGAGAAAAGCTTCTGTACTTTAGCTTCAGGACAATTCGATTTAAGTAAAATCTCAATTTTAGGGCTTAAGGGACTAATAACGAGCTAGACACCATAACTTACGTTTGTTATATATTACTTGAGGATTGATATAAACAAGTACACAGATACCACCCGTGTAGTCCATTGAAATACTATCCGAATCCAGCAAAGGTCAAGTGCGAGCAATGTATATAATACATTTTCCTTGTTTTTTCACTTTGCCCCTGCACTTGGGCTGTCTTACTTGTGATTCTCTCCCCATGGCCGAGACTGTATTTAGCACGTTGCTCGAGCAGCATGCAGCTTTTCTGCTTCGGCGATCTTGTTTAAAGGCAGAGATACAAAAAAAAAAAATAGTATACATAACCTGCCAATTCATTCGGACCATCAGCAGCGTTTATTGTGCGAGATGTGAATCTGTAGTGATGCCCCTGCAATTGTGGCCATATTTGTTTTTATTTCACATACCAGTTGTGGTTCATGCGTTGCCTGGCCTGTCAGCCATGCTTAAAACGTTCGTTGAAGTTTCGCCTGTAGCTACAGGTCATACCTCATCAAAGGCACATATAAAAATTTACACTTCCTACAAAAAAAAAACGCCAAAAAAATTAAATAGAAACGAGCGCGCCGACAGCTAGCGTCGTCACAGCCTCCACAGGGCGAGCGGGGCGAGTCGGGGAAAAATTCTCTCCTCGCCGTGACGTCACCCCGGTTCGCCGTAAGGGGGCGCTAGGCGAACTTCTCGGGGCTAATACCCCATTTTTTGGGACGCTGAAAGTCACCGAATTTCTAGACTTCGATCGCGAGGGGGTCTCGCACGTTTCGCGTCGACCAGGTGAATAAGCAGGGATTTAGTTCAAACGACTCCGGAAGCCAGCCACTGCTCCTTTCCGCCAGATATTTTGAGGAAATGTTTGTTTATTGGTTTACAAAATCCAAAAAGGAATCAACTTCAAACTAAAAAGAGAACAGCACTCGGAGAACAGTTTGGAACCAACAGTATATGAGCCGCTTTCACTGATGTGTTTACTACAATGCGAGAGGTTCTTGAATTTCACTTTCCTATTTTCAATTTGAATAGATATTTATTTTTCAGTTTAATTTTGTCCGAATCAAAATAAAAAATACACCCTATTCGCCGTGGTAAATGTCAAAGTGGGCAAGCGCCCGATATTCTATTTTCGTCATCCAGCTTTTAGTACTGATGTAGAGCACAGCACACCACCATCCCAGCGCTTCGGACACCTCAGTGTCATATGGGTTTGTTGGCATATACTACGCGTGTCACGGTTTCAAGTTTCAGTAAAATGTCCTACTACAAATATCACTTCATCAAAAAAAAACAACGCATGAAACAGGCTTAGTCGCGCGTTACTCAAACAGCGCGTGAAACGAGCTGACGAGCCGAGGGTTCTAAGATCTGCGCGGTCTGTCCCAGTCATGCCCTACCCGTGACGTCACAAACGATGATGATAACTAGAGAAGCGCGCCCTGCAGTTCGCACACACCGCCAATACCGCGTTGGAACCTTCGCTGCGCTGTCAGTCTGAAGAATTTGTCAGACTACAGGCCTTCATTTCTCTGCACTGCGCTTCGTCAGTGGTCGTTGATATATATATATATAGAGAGAGAGAGAGCGAGAGAGAGAAAGAGAGAGAGAGAGGTGAACTACACGATGCGACATGAGCCCCCAGACGTTGCCCCTGCCTAATTGATTCTCTGACGATATTGACAGTCAAATAAAATTTCACCGTCAATTTCGTGTATTACTGTTCATGCACTAAATTCGAAAAGCTTACGGCATCAAGAAAAGCCGCGGGGGTATATTTATACGTATTTATATATACGCGACATTTTATATTTTTGCTGTGTCGCAGGGTAGCGGAGTTCGGGAAGCACGGGTGTAAAGCAACGGTCTATAACTGTA